AGAATTTCAAATTTGTTTTCTTCAGTTTTTATTTCTTTCTGGAATTTTCTTTTTTTGTTGTTTGTCTGTTTGCTTTTTGTTTTTTTTTGTTTTTTTTTTTCTGGTACCAGGAATCGAACTCACGACGTCGCGCTCGCCAGGCAGGCACTGTGCCGCTGAGCTAAAACCCCAGCCCTCTTTCTGGAATTTTCTATCTTTCCATTCATCACAAGTATATTTCTCTTTTTATATTTGAGCATGGTTATTACAACTGCTTTAATATTTTTGTCTGTCAATTTCCACATGTTAGTTTGTCTCTACTGATACTCCTTCCTTTTGAGCATAGTTCACATTTCATTTCTTTATCTATTGGATACAGAACATTGTGGAAGCTCCAGTAAACATACTTAAATGGGTTATGTTCCTCCAAGTAGTTGTGTGATAGTAGACAGTTAACATACCTGAAATCAAGCAAACTCTGTCTGCTCTGCAGTAGACAACAGAAAGATTTCTTCTACTCTTTTAGCCCTAACTGGACGGCCTGGAATCTAGGATAGACTTAGGGAGTTCAGTCAAATGTCTGTATGGGTATAGGTGTCTGGGGTTTTGGGGATTTCTTGTTTACAGAATTTGTGTCTTTCATTCAGTTGTTCTAATTGAGATCTCCCCAGGCACTTTATAGCTGCTAGCTATGGTTCTCCTAATATATTCCTTGGTACTGCATCAAGACTGCAGGCTCTTTTCCACACCTTAAGCGTCACAAATGGAATTAAATGGACCTCCTCTGATTCAAAAAGGCTAATTAAAGGAGAATTCACCCACTGGCATTTCCTTCTTTGCTGTGTTGACTCTCCAGTTTTTCTCCTGTATGTCTATGTCTAGTTTCTTAGGTATGTTGCCCAGAGTTTATGTAGCTCTTGATATTTCTGAACTGTATTTGTTTGTCCAACTGCAGTTCCTATAATACAACCAGAAGCAAAACTCACTAATTAGTGAACTAAGGACTCTGACAACGTTTAAAGAATCTTAAACAAATACTGAAGTGTTGTTAGATTTCTTTTCTGTGGTGGTATGGTTAGCAATTCTGAAACGATATATACCGTCATCCCTCACCTATCACGGGAGTTATGTTCCAGAGACCCACCCCCCGGAAGGTAGGTGAAAATCTGCGAAATAGCAGCATTATATTTATTATTTACATATATTTTAAGGCTTTATAAACCCTTCCCACACTCCCATAAACCTTTCCCACTCTCTTATTAACCTTTCCCACACTCTTATAAACACTTCATATGCTCTTAAACGCAAGGAGAGATGCTGAAGGTGTGGACACAGTACAGGAGAGCAAACAGACCGATGCTCGGTCACTGAGCCAATTAGCATCCAGGATACACAACACAATGCTGTGGTTGGTCACCTTCCATTCCATCAGCCAATAGTGAGCCGCATACAATCCCACTATGGCAAACTTGTGCAAGGGGTAGTGGCATTTCTATTGTGTACAGTATGGTATTCATCCGCTGATGAAATACATACTGTATTTTATTTTGATTTAATATTCTTTTAATATGTTTGAATTAACATTTTTATATTTTTATATTGTTTTATGTTTTTTAGGCAAAAATAATTAAAAATCATAAGTATTATACAAATACCTATATACAGTACCGCAAATTCGACAATATAGCAAAAACTCCGCAATACAGAATTAGATTTTTTTTTTTTAAAAAAAAACCCATGATACAGTGAAGCCACAATAAGTGAAATCACGATATAGCGAGGGACAACTGATACAGGTACAGTGAGGACTACACAAATGAACACATAAACTGACAACAGGTGTCAAGTTTCTTTTTATGGGAGAAAGAAGTTAAAAATACAAAAACAAAGCTGGGCATGGTGATCGTGTAGACCTGTAATTCCAGTTACTTGGGAGGCTGAGGCAAAATTGTGGCTTCGAGGCCAGCTTTAGCAAGGCCATCTGAAAATACAATTTAAATAAGGATTGGGGATATGGGGATATAGCTCAGTGATACTTATGTTAAATCTCCAGTAAGGCAAAAGAACAAGGGAACAAGGGGGGCAGCTAGAATGAAGCCTATGGTATCAAATTAGAAGTTATCAGTATCAACTCAAGAAAACGTAACACACATATTGGCTTTGTCTGTGAAAGAGCCTAGAAACCAAGGACATCCTGGAAGCAATGAATATATCATGCACTCTGATGATGGTTTCTCAAAGATCATATTCAACTGCCAAATGAAACAGAAACTACTCGGAGAAATAACTGATTATAAGGCTGGGGAAAGAAAAATTGAAAGTAAGCCTTGAACATCCTGTGGAAGCAGAAAGTAAGTGTACAAGGAATGATGAAGGCTTGTAAAATGTAAATGGAGACCATTCAGATGTGGCAAAATTGGTATACAATTTGAGCATCAAAATAATGACAATAAGAAAATATTCACGGAGGCAGGTATGGTGGAGCACACCTGTAATCCCAGCACTTGAAAGGCTGAGGAAGGAAGATCACCACAATTTCAAGATTAGCCTGGGCTACAAAATGACTTCAAAGCCACCCTAAACTACATAATGAGACACTGTCTTTAAGTAAAAAGGAAATATTAATGGAAAAAGAGTACATATGAATACAGAACACAACCCTACCCCTTGCTCCTTTATTTCAACTAATAAAGGTAGTGTTCATTCAGCCACAATTCAGGAATGGATATTTTGATATAAAGAATTTCTAGTAATGGCCAACAAGATTCCACACCCAAATTCCCAGAACCTTTGAATATACTATCATTTCCATGACTATGTCATGCAAATTGGCACAGTTAGTAAGATTATGTGAGGCTGATCATATGAGTCCTTATAAGCAGAAATTTTCTCCAGCTTTTATTCCTGAAAATAACAAATAGTAAGGAAAAGGGTAACTCAGGGAGACGCAAAGTATGCAGAAGACTCAACGTGTTTGCTCCTCCTGGCTTTGAGGATGGAGGGGACAATGGGAAAAGAAATTTGGACAGTTGAAAAGAGCTAGGAGAAAGGATCATAGCCAACAGCAAATGAAAAATGAGATCTCAGACATATAATCTATCACAAAAAATTTCATTATTCCAACAACTTGAATAAGTTTGGGAATGTATTTTTCCACAGAATCTCCAGAAAGTCTTACTGACACCCTAACTTTTATCTTGTGATACCCTGAAATAAGCCTTACAAAACATACCAGACTTCTGATCTATGAGATAATAAACTGGGGTTGTTTTTAATTTTCTTTTATGTTAATTTTATGATCATTTGTAACACAAAATCCATTAAACTACTGATGAAAAAATACCTAAGTTATTTCAACATGCTCTTCATCCAATTATTTATTATTAAATTACAAAGGAATAAGTGAATTGTTTAGATCAATCTAATGAACAACTATAAGAAAATAACATAAGTAACATCACCAATAAAGTAACAAATCATAATACACAATATCACATACTTTGTGATATGACAAACTCACTGAGAACACAACACTACTTTATGTAGTATTCCTACCAAAAATATGTATCCTGAATCTTCTCCTAAAAATACAGACAATCAACTAATATAGGGCCAATCAACAAAGTAATAGACCTGTAAATTTCATATGTTTCAAGCTACCAACACAGAAGAGAAAATTGTTTAAGATTTTAAGAATACAGAGACATGTCAACTATATGCAATAAGTAATCCTAAACTAAATTTTGGACTTAGTTTTACCCATCTATTCACCCTTCCCATTGGTATTTCTTATTTTCTGTCTTTTGGTGTCTATATTTCAAACAGCTTTATTTCTAATGTCAGAAAATCTTTAATTTCTCCTAGTATACTGTAGATCTGCTGATATCAAGTTCTCCCTTTTCGTTTGTCTGGAGATGTCTTTATTCCATCCTTCTTGTTTCTTGTTGTTTTGTTTTGTGATTTTTAGACAGGATCTCACTATGTAGTTCAGCCTGACCTCGAATTCACAGGGATCCTCCTGCCTCAGCTTCCCAAGTGCTGGGATTACAGGCATGTGCCACCACACCTAGCTGCATCCTTCATTTTTAAAAGATGTTACCACTGAGTATAGAATTCTAAATTTGCAATTATTTTCATTTCTTACTTTAAAGAAAACATTTCATTGTCATCTATTTTGTATCACTTCTGATGTTAAATAAGTCATCACTATTACTATTGTTCCTTTGCAAAGAATATCCTTTTTCCCCATGGCTGTTCACAAGATTTTGTCTAACCCTTTGCTCTTTAGGTGTTTGATTATGACAGATTAGCTGGAGTTGTCTTTTTATTTGCCCTGCTTGGGATTCATAGAAACTCTTGAGCCTGTGACTTAATGTCTTTCATCACTTCTGGAAAATGCTTAGCCAGTATCTCTTCAAATTCAAATTCTGACCCATTCTCTTTTCTCCTTCTGAAATTCTAATTATATGGTTGAACTTTTCACTATGATTTATCTTACTTTTTTTTCTATATATCTTGTATGTGTTTGTATATTAAGCTTTATATATGCAGCTACTTGAAAATGGTACTCACATGATAACAGAATGTTTTTTAAACAGAAAAGGAGAAAGGAAGGCTTAAGTGTTTTTCATTTAATTACTAAATCGACTCAGAGATATTATCAAGCAACATAAAAATTTACTTCCTAGTATACAACTAACTACTAGAATAAATATTTCTACACTACTGCCACCTCTAGTCCTATCTATTCATTATGATTAACATTCATTATTCACCACCTCCTATCAGATATTTCCACTGTACACAAAACCATATGAAGTGCTTCCTTCTCTAAGTTCCTACAAACTTACATTTTTACTTATCAAAATTAAAATTTCCTAGATATTAGCAAAGATGTACAACAGGAATTTCCATGAAAAGTACTAATTTCATTTTTCAAGTATTGAAAGCCTTTAATAGTTGCTTCCTCCAAAAACTAAACAAAAATGATAGCAGAAACAATAGATTCTTTTTCAATTTACCTGTGCTTTGGCTCATCACAAGTCGTGGAGGAGAACTTGTTTCTTCAGACTCTTCTGATGAATGTGCCAGGAAGTCATGAAGCTTCTGCACCAATGTATTCAACTTGCTTTCACTATCAAAGAAAAATTTAAATATAAATATTTAATAAACTAAAATCCTTTCTACACTGAGATATGTATAGTCAAAGTACAAATTAAAAGGATTCAATTTTATTTCACCGAGGACTTAACATAAGGGTAACATATCTAACTTGTATACTTACCAAGGATCAAAATATCATTTAAGAAAAATGCTGACATTACTTACTCAATATTTTCAAGATTTTATTATCTTTCAATGTGCTGTATCTGGCATGTTTAAATAGAAGTTAAGCTTTTACTTTGCATTAAACTATTTAAAATGTATCACTAGATTCTACTTCTAACCTAAATTTTAAGAATAACTAAACCTACCTAGTACAAGACTATCAAAAGAAACTAAAAATCCAGGGGGATAAAAGGCAAAAAATGTACTTGTATTTGGGTTTAATCCATCTTTTTTTCACAATCAATAGCAGTACATACCTTGTCATAGTATCAGTAAGCATTTTAGTTATTATTTTCTCTCATTTGTATAGAGATTCTACTTAGAAAACCCTTAGAAATCAAAACACAAGCATGGTGGTGCTTGCCTGTAATCCCATTACTGGAGGCTAACATGGGAGGATCACAAGTTCTTGCCCAACCTGGTACCTCAAAATAAACACATAAATAAATAAGAAGAGCTAGAAATGTAGTTCAGTGTGAATATCCTAGATTGAAATCCCAGTATCACAGAAGAAAGAAACAAAAATATTAAGGAGTTTTACTTTTCCGAGAAGATTGAAACTTTCCAACACTAAAAATTAAAAAAAAAAGACTTTTATTCCTTCACATTAAAAAAAAGTTTGGAGATTGTGCCATTTTGTGAGATTTGTATAACCCACCAAAGAAGAAAAGAAGAAATTGTCAGGACAGCTGCCACTTGGGGTCTAGCCTATCACCATAAACTTGGACCTTATGATCGTTCTGCCAAGACTCGGTGCCCAGAGATTACAATATTTGCTGGGAAGGAGCTGCAGTCTCCCCGGACCAGCATACCCCGGAACTGCAAGCTAGAAAGAGACTGAGAGGGCTGCAGAAACGCTAGGAGAAGAGAGCACCAGGGCCAGAGAAAGGGGGTGCAAGTCATTCCAGTTGGGACTGTCACATTCTCAGCCCCGGGTGCCACTGAAACAATTCACCAGAGAGAGAGAGAAACTGAGCTGAGTTACCCCCAGAAATAAGCTGGGAACAGCAGGGGCAGGAAGAGGTGGCTAAGGTGATACTGTCTGTTGTCTCCCCCAGCTGGGCACCATGATAAGCACAAACCAAAGAAAGAATGAATTGGGGCACAGCTAAGAAGGTGCACTCTGGGAACATACAAAGGTGGCTGGGGTGGCAATGAGGAAGAGCAGTGGCACAAGTGTCCCACCATCTTCATGAGGAACAATAGAGAGACTCCTGATGATGACAGACTAAAGGCAGCACGAGTGACAAGTCGTTCTGGGATACTGATCTTGATCCTAAACAACAGCACAAGATAATGGTCCCCATTATAAATACCTCCACAAGAAAGTGTAGTGGTACAGACTTTCGGTTTTTTTCTTTCTTTTTTTTTTCCTCCCCATTTCTTGGGTTTTTGCTTGCTTTGGCTAGGTTTGATGTGTGTGAGTGTGTATGCATGCATGCACACACACACACACAGATATATAAGAAGTGACTGAAAATTAGAGTGTATTAAAAAAAAAAAAAAGCCAGGCATGGTGGTATGCACCTGTACTCCCAGCACTCAGGAGGCTGAGGAAAATCACTGCCAGTTTGAGGCCAGCCTGGGCTAGTGAGTTCAAGACCAGTCTGAACTACATAGCAAGACCCTATCTCAAAAAAAAAAAAAGAGTGTGTTTAACACAGTCCCACCAGCTTGAACCACCAGCAGTACATGCATGACTATCCCTTTGGGCAAGTCCCACTGGTGATACAAATGGATCTGATCATTTTTATAAGTCTTCTTACTAATAAAATTAATAAAAAGTCTCTAAATGGAACAAATCTAATTACTTGAAATTGAATAATTACTGCCCAAATATAAGTAGTAACACTATTCATGGGCCAGTGATATACCTGAGCGGCACAAGTGCCTGCCTGGCAAGCACAAGGTCCTGAGTTCGATTCCCAGTACAAAAAAAAAAAAAAACAACTATTCATAACAATTTTTTAAATTATTATACTAATTAAACATTTCATTAAAAGAAATGTATTTCTATTCATGAATAGTTTATCAATAATTAATTCTCTAAATTTTAACATGATAATATTCTAAGTACCCCACTGAGCTGGGGATATAGCTCAGCGACACAAGCACCTGCCTAGCAAGCACAGGGTCCGGAGTTTGATTCCCAATACAAAAAAAAAAAAAAAAAAAAAAGGAAAAGTACCCCATTGCCAGTGTATATAATATGAATGTACAACTACTGTACAACACATCAGTTGTATTATAATTTTTATACCATTTTAATGTTTTCTTTAAGGAATTGTAAAATGATGACATCTGGTCTGCTAAATCAATGCCTTTCTTCGCATTGCTGTAATAAAAAAACCCCTAGGAAGTGGTACAAGCCTCCCAATGGGATAGGCACATATGTACCACCAATGGTTCAAGCTGGCAGGAACAATTAAATTCAAATTAGAGCCACCCAACAGCCTGATATATGAATTACAGTCCCATTGTAAACATGTTAAAACAAAAAATGTATTGCAGTAAAAGACAACTGCCATCAATCACCCCCAAAAAAATCCTCCTCATTTCCACCACACACCATCACTCCTACTACTTTCTAATGCAGTTCTGGAAGTCTTTTTTCATGAGTGTCTTTAGTTACACTACACTAGCTGCCTCAATGTCCCAAACTAATTCAAAATCTTTACCTTTCATTTTGATGTTAGAGAAGAATGAGAAGTTCCTTGGTGCCAGATTTGGTGAATAAGGTGGCTAAAAATATACTAAAATGTTTTATTGAGCCTGCCTTTCTGTTGGATGGCACTCAGCAGCAGCATGTGGTGTTTTTAATCACACCTTATAAAGACAATCACGAAAGAGTATTCAAAGTGACAGGGAGTGTTTTGAGGGAGATTAATAGCAATGTGTCTTCTACTGTAATAATTTTTTAAATTGAAACACTTACTGCATTTTTTGTTTATGTGTGTAAGGTTTGCAATTTTGACTGTTCGTGTTATTGGTAGTTAGTCTCTCCTCTCAAAGTAGTCCTAGGGACTGACCATAGCATATGGAACACACTGGATACTTTCACATGAGACATAACCATAGTCCAGGGCATAGCACAAAAGGAAAGCCAGAGACTTAAAATACTCCCATAGACTTGTGGTACAAATATCCACTCCAACTGATCTGCAAACAGCAAAATAAAAACACAGTGCCTATGCGAAAACAAGGTAATAAAATGGCTCCAAATATTTGTAACTGCGCACAAGCTGATCTCAGAGATACTGAAGTAAGTGAAAATCCAGCTAAAAAATTCTAAAGACTGCTGGTGTGTGGTGACACACACTTGTCATCCCAGCACTCAGGAGGCTGAGGCAGGAGGATCACTGCAAGTTTGAGGCCAGCCTGGGCTACGTGGTGAATTCAAAGCCAGCCTGAAATACAAAGTGAGACCCTGTCTCAAAAAACCAAAAGAATTCAAAAGACTGACAGTTAAAATGATCAATGAGATAAAAAAAAAAAATAAGCAGCCGAATGAATTAAGAAAGACAACACAAGATATAAAGACCAGTTCAGTAAAGAGACAGAGGTTGTAGAAAAGAATCAAGCAGAAATCCTGGAAATGAAAACTTCCATCAGTCAAATATAAAACTCAACTAAAAGTCTTGACAGTAGGAAAGACGAAGAACTATCAGGACCTGACAACAAGGTGGAACACTCTGACAATAATAAAGAAAACAGAATAAGAAACAATAAGCAAATTATTCAAGAGCTCTTGGATAACAACGAAAGACCAAATTCAAAGGAAATATACTCTGAAGATAGTAAAGAAAAAAAGACTAATGACACAGAAAAATCTGTTCACTGCAGTTATTGTAGATAACTTACCAAATCTGAGGAATGAGATAAATACTCAGATAATGGATGCATTTAGAATTCCAAATAGACACAACCAAAAATGAACCTCTCCAAAAGTATCATAAAAAATTCAGGAGAATATTGCAATATGTTAAAGAAAAATGCCAATAAGGGCAAAGCCATCAGAGTAACAGCACACTTCTCAATAGAAACTCTAAAGTCAGTCTCAATAACTTAACAATTAAAACAATCTCCTCCGTCCTGTCAGATTACAAGGAAGTGAAACTAAAAATCAAAAGCAAACAAAAAAACAAAATAAAATAAAATAAAAATAAACACAGGAACTACCCAAACACAGGCAGGTTGAATGATCAGAGTCACTGAAGAAATCAGAGGAGAAATTTAAAACTTCTTAAAATCAAACAATAAGGGAAACACAACACACCAGAACCTATGGGATCAATGAAAGCAGTTCTAAGAGGTAATTTTATAGCTATGAGTACATACATTAGAAAAACAGAGAGATCCCAAAGAAATGACATAATGATGCATTCTCAGAGAAAATGTAAAATAGTACAACTACTACACAAGTCAGTATGGTGACTCCTCAAAAAAAAGTACAAATAGGGGCTGGGGATTTAGCTCAGCGGCAAAGCGTCTGCCTGGCAAGCGCAAGGTCGTGAGTTCGGTTCCCGGTACCGGAGAAAAACCAAAAAATAAAAAATAAAAAAAAAAAGTACAAATAGAAATACCATTTGATCCAGGTGACATTCCTGAAAGAATTAAAAACAACATACTATAGTTATATATGTATACCCATATTTATTAGTGGCTGATTTCACAATAGCTAAACTATGCAAAACGCTAGATGTGCATCAGAAAGAAAACACTGCAGATGTACATGACAGAATATTATTCAGCCATAAAGAAGAATGAAATCATGCAGTTGCAGAAAAACGTGTGGAACTACCGAGC